ATTCTCACTTTGACTTTATGTATTATTGTCTACTATTAAATAGTTGCAACATAAAATTAAGTAATTTCCTTCTGAAAAGATGACTCTGATAGGGTCATGTCATTCTGATAACATCAAAATACTTTTACCTTCTGCAAGACACTAATGCTTTAGAAAGCTTTTGACAAAACATGATCTTCCACTGCATAGGAATTCAATCAGAAAAATTTCTGGCCAGCTGTGATAATCAAAAGCAAGCCAGGACCTGACTTTTAAAATCCAAACGTCCTAATAGAGGGAGATCTCTCTCTTGTTAAACGCATCACTAAATTGAATTTACTGAACAATACATCCCACTGACAACTTCAACATGAGCCAGTGCAGCTTTCCACAACTCCTCTGCAGACCTGGGTAACCTCTGAACCCTGGAGATCATCTTGGCCAACCTTGTGTTGAAAGCAGGGCCTTAGATTAGGTTATCCGCAGCCCTGTCAAGCCAAATATTGAGTATCTACAGCCAGGCAGATTCCACCGCTTCTCTAGGCGGCTTATCCCACGGCCCAAGCAGTCCCACAGTGAAGAAATTGGTTTTATAATCCAGACAGAAATACCTTGAAGCAACTGGTGCTTCTTGGCCCTTGTTCTGTCTCCATGCATCCTTGTGAAGAGAATGACTGCCCCCATCTTCTCTCTCTTTTGGGAGCTTTACAGAAAATCTGATTAACAGGAGTCTTGCATAGGTATAAAGGGATAAAAAAAAGAAAGACTTGCTGCACAAGCACAACATTCTAACATTCAGGACTCACGGTGACAAAAGCTCAGAACTGCAGAGACATATTTACAGGCGCAGAAGGATTGACGGTCTTTCCAAGCACAAATTGTTGGGAGGTAACTTATGCTTCATCACAACAAATTTATTGCATTTACTGTGGAAAAATCAATAAAATATTTTTATAATAATTAGATCAAATTATGCAGATACAGAACTTCCTGATTACAGAACTGACAGATGACCTTTCAAAAACAAGTGTTGGTTGGCTTTTTTTCCCCTTTCTATGCATAGCAAGTTTTTTGCCTCATTTTTTCCCTTGAGTATGTCAGGCTACTTACAAAAATCCAAATGAAACTAAAGCATATGAAGTTTTCTGGAAGGTTTGCCACAAGATTTTGTCTTGTCCAACAGTTCTTTACCTTTCCTTAACAGTAACAATCATACGCCGAGTCGAGCAGCCACACTGCACATACTTGTAATTTCCTCCGCTACGGAAAGTCTCCAAAACTTGCCCTTCAGGATCTGCATGATACGACCTTTCCCATCACAGGCTTGGAGGACAGGAGGAAACATTACCACCAGCTCACTTGCCTGCTGGATTTTGCTCACTGTTGAGCCACAGCAGACTGTGTTTTCTCCAGCTGGGGGAAGGTCAATGGCACCCATCAGTATGCTGGTCCTACCACCAATTCCTCCTACCGTCTGAAAGGCATTCCTTCCCACCTAACAAGGATGGGTCTTGCTCCACCTTTCAGCCACTGGATAGTCTCCAGACCTCAGGTTTTTGTGGTGCTCTTTTCTCAAGGGCTAGACATGAAAACTACTAGATTTTCTATACAGTTTGCTCATGCTACCTCCAGAAATAAAACAGTAAACTCACTTGTCTTTTGACAAATTTGAAACACAGAACACAGTTCAACTCTTACTTTTGTAAAAGCATTACGAAACAGGTATCGACTGATATGAAATAAACAGAAAGAGTGAGAGAAGCTCTATTCTTATCTATGTAGCCCTTGCTACATTTACTATATTATAGTAAATAATATGTAGCCCTTGCTACTTTACTATATTATAGTAAAAAATGGGAAAACACCAAAACTGGCAATATGAACTTGTTCATGGACTTGAGCCACAACAAACCTGGTTTCTACATCCATATTTTCTCGTATATTATGCAGACTTGATTTGACTCAATACTTAAACGGAGGACAAGAAACAATTAGGTGCTGCAGGAAACTGATTATACAAAGAACATAATCCTCATTACCCACATCCATATAAATTCATTTCCTGACATAATGCTATCCTTCACTATTGCCCTTGTTATTAATGGCAACTTTATTTTTATATGATAGCAATCCAAACTCCTAACCCCTTCTTCTCATGAAAGAACCAAAGGCAGGCAAGGCAATAAAGTATATTTCCCCTTCAGACAAATTTAAATGCCAGATTTTGTTTTTCTGCTGCCCATTTTCCTTTTGCAACTCCACACAGAGAGGATGTTCTGCTTCTCCCTCAGAAACCGAGTGCTCCTGTGCCCTGCTCTAGAGCCTGTGTTTTCATAGAAGGAAATCAGTCAGCAGGCAATGGAGAAGAAAATCTTCAGATAGCAGGAAAGCTTCATCCAGGGCTTACACAATGAAATTAGGAAACTGGCATAACATGCTTCTGCCAAAGTTTGTGAAATTGTGGTCTATCTCCAGGGTGCAAATCTAAATTTTTGAGAGCTAAACCAAAAATGAACAAAGGAAAAATCAAAATCAGGGTAACCAAATAAGTTTACACTCTTTAATAGCACCTTCCCATTATGTTTCTGAGTGCTTGCGTACTGTTATTTTAAAAAGATATCAAAGTAGTAAAGATGCATTTAAATTCATTTCAATACCAGCAGACCAAGATTCAAGATCTTCCAATTCCCTTTAAAAGAATCTTAAAACCAGACGTGTGTTATTAAGAATATTGTGGTTTCTGTCAGACAGTAGCTACCATGGCTGCTAATAGTAATAGAAGTCATGGGGAAAGGGAGTTGTTATTTTTTAGCAGAGCCAGTGGGAATTTTTCAATCAGATAATTTTTAGTTAGAAAACACCAGTTTTTAACAGGCACTTTTTTTTAGAAAGTTTCTTGGGATTTGTATGGGATTTCTGGTCAAAGTAGAAAGATGAAAGGAAACCAAAGAATAACTTGGTGTCTGGAGCACTTTTACAGCATGTGGTGAAGACCAGGTTCAACAACCCTTTTCTGGCTAACCTGCAACAGCAATGTGACCATGAAGTTCCCACTCCTGTCTCAAGCAGTAGCTATTTTGGCATGTCTTCCTCCTGTTTTCAAGTTTTATACTCTTTCCATAATGACTATCCTTCCATCTGTTATGATTTGTTTTGTATCTCCTATACAAATGATCCTCCAACCTCTTCAGTATGAATGAGCAACCTCATTAATTAAGGGATATAGCCTAAACAGAGAATATATTTTATGTCTACACTATGAACGCTTCAAACAATTTTCCAGCAAAGAGTGTCCCACCCCACAATCACCAAAGACTGTACGTATGTTTACTCAAATAACCCATGTTATTCATGAGCAGACATTTTATAAGACAGAGGCAAAAGTATTATTCCTGAAAGAATTGCTTTGTAATATAGTATCTACAATAAGGTCAAAAGGAAGCATTTCTGGATGTGTTCCATCACTTGATGTTCAGGAAACCATTTTGTATGACACAAAAGATTAGGAAAAATAAGCTGCATGACATTTATTTTGCAATTTTAACATTATTATCTGTAGAAACATTTTATTGTCAGTACAAAAGTTAACAGATTTTAATACTTCTTTTACCCAATTAAAAACACAAACCAAAACAAAACAAAAAAAACCCACCACATAAAACAGTGTAATTTGCATTCATATTGCATGGCCATATCAGTGTGAGTGTTCTGAAAGTAAAAACACAAGACTTCCGTAAAAAGATACAAACAACAGTGATATTTTAGCAGAGGCCAGTGCTATACCTACTGTTATGGAACAGATCAGAAGGAAATACTGGAGTCAGCATGAATTAATCCCTTAAAAAGATGCTGATATTCCTATGGCAAACTGTCATTATAAACAACTTCTCTCTTTTTAACGTGACAATAGAGAGATAGTCTAAAAGGCAAAAGATCCAGGCCAGAAGATCTGGAACCTATTATCCAACTCGGGGAAGAGAACTGTAGTTAATTTGATGCATGTGCAACTCAAGGGTAGAAGCTCAGCTCCTTTCAGAGCCATACGTTCTGCTATGGTTATAGACAAATTCATGTCCTTCCTTACTCTAGGAACTCTCTTTAAATTTTCTTCTTTTTTTTGTATGTGTGGAATGATTCCGCTTTTTGGCCACAGAAAACACTGCGAAAGACTTAAATCGTTAAAGTGACAGGTACTGAGAATAAAAGACTTTCTTGTTAAAGGATTTGGTTTTGCTAAGAATAATCATCTAATCATCTGATACTGCAGTTTTTAAACACAAATAAATCAAAAGTTTAATTCCCCAAAATTAGTTATATACTGTAAATATTTCTTTTTTTAAAGATCTGAAAACTAGTAAAGTCTGAGCAATATATCTACTAGTTCTCTGTGCTGCCTGCATAGAAATGCCATTTAAATTACAAAAACACAACAACCCTATAAACGATTAACTGTTTTGTACATTACCAATTAGTTAATAAATTAATGATATACCATTTTCCCTGAAAGCAAAGTATTTTCCACCTTTGGATGGTGAAAATTAAGAAATTCTGTGTAAGAACAGCATTTAGCAAATAGCTGCTAAAAAAGAGACTAATTTGCTAGGTGGATTGGGACATCCATTTTTAAATCAATACAAAAAATAATTCATTGTAAATATATATAATATATATTTATACATATTTTGAATTTATTTACATACATCCAGCACCTATATACTGCATTTGTGCTCTGTAAGTGTGTGCCAACATATATTTTCTCCAAATATTACAAAATAAACAAGAAAGGCAGACCCAGAGTTTGCCTCAAGTCCAACTGGTCCATTGTACAAACAAAGTCCATTGCAGCTTACAGGAAGCCAGAAGATTGACAGCGATGGGTATCTAGACACAGTTCATAAACATTCTTTGTTGGGAATATTTAAGAGTTGCAAATTATGAGATTCTTTGTGTAGGTTCTGACTGCTTTCCTCCAAGTTTTCTTTTTTTTTTTTCTTTTTATTTTTTTCTCCCCACCCATCCCCCCCACCCCTGATGTTTCGTATGTACAAGCAGAAATATTAAGGTCCTGGAGAAAAGATTTTTGTTTTGTATATGGTAGGTAGCTTGGTGTTCTTCTTTCTTTATTCCTCTGTATGATTTCTGTTCATGTTTTAACACTTCCATTCATGTGTTGGTACTTGGGAAGACAAGGTTCATAAGGCATTGGATCAGGAGAAAAAACAGAGTCATCACCTGAAGAACATGAACTCCTCGTGTCAGGGTAACTAGGTGAATACTGTTCGAGCGGTCCACTGAGGTCCAGATACTCCTATGACAAAAGAAATAAATTCAATTTTTAGACAGTGAGTAAAACTGACAATAACACATTACCACTACTCTGATTTGGCTTGATTATACAGCGGATAAAAGAACAGTTTAAAAATGACACTCGTTTATGTAAAGCAATTGCATTCAAAAGTGCCTGTTGCTTAAATATCTCATAAAACAAGGAGCTTGAATAGAAAAAGAAAAAACAAACCAAAAACACAGCACTTTTCTGAAGTCCAACATCACCAGCATTAGCTGCATCAGTGGAAATAAACATGCCAACCACATCAAAAGAAGACTTTTCACTCGCAATGATAAAAATGAAATTTCATCCTAAATAGAACCATTTTTCTTTAGCACATGGTAATGATTTGGAGAGGGAAAGATACTTCCAACTTTATATTCCTTTGGTCAGTTTGAATATCTGTTTTATATTCTGTGATATTAAATTTGTGTTTAAACATGCAGTGGCATATGTGCAAAAAAGAACTGAAAGGAAAACAAATTCAGTAGATTGGGGCTTTTTACACTACGTGTGTGTGTGTGTGTGTGTGTCCCAGAGTAGCCATGACCAAAGCAGTCATTAAAAAAGGAAATAGTATCTGCTGAATCCAAGTTTTGGGTTAAGGCTTTTTTGCTAGAAACAACAGTTTTGGCAGGAGAATAAAGTTATTTTTCCCCTTGAAATGTTCCTTCTCTTTCAACTTCTAAAGGCAGCTGCATTCATTTAAATGCAATCTCTTCATTTGCTAAACCACAAGTTATGATCGTACTGATGAGACAAGTATTCCACCTCAGACAGTATTTTATGCTGCTGTGCTTAGGTTTGGGGTAATTTAGTTCTTGGTTAACATATTTTAAGTCAGACATTCAATCATTACCACATTATAGTTAAAAAATGGTCACCATTTTAAAAGAAGAGGGGAATGTAAGTTTTAAAATGATGACAAATACAGTATGCAGCAAGAGAAGGCAGTTTGGGTCTATCATTACTGCCTATCTTGCTACCTAGGCTTTTAAAAGATCCACAAGGACAATCTTGACACGTATTTATATATTAGCAAACCAGTTCCATGTGACCAGAAATAATCAAGCACTTTTTAGACAGATAGAAGAAAGTATTCCAGTATTTGAAGAAACAGGGCTTTCTCATGGGATATCAGGCATGGCTCGTCATATCAAAGGGCTTGACGTAATTCAGTTATGAATTTAATATTGAAGGTGGGATCCTAATCCCATCTCCAGCCTTCTTATCTTATGTCAAGGGCCAGAGTCACATAAAGGGGGATAAGAAGTTTCCAGTTCTTGGTGTTGCTATAACACCACAGCCATGAGGCCGACTCTTAGTGACTTCTGCTCGTGTGGATCGGAGAAACGCTGCACGCTACTCTGGGACACACAGGGAATAGGGTCTTTTGGGGGAAAAAACCAACAAAACCCCAACAAACAAATGAAAACCAACAGCTGATATTCAGCATGGAGAAAAGCAAGACATTACCATTTAAGCAGAAATAACTACTTGCACAAATGCAGAAGAAGATATAATTGGCTAGTCTAGCAATTTTTTTGAGCTGTTGGGCAAACCAGGCTGACCCTGTGTCAACAGTGTCATTCTGGGGGGAAAAGGAAACTGCTACCGTGGAGGGGATAAGCAGAAGTATTGACAGACTGATGCACAAAGGACCTGCACTTCAAGAAAACTGTGTGGACTACACAAAATCAGAGGTCTCAAAAGCACAAGCTGTGGAGGAAAATGGGACACGCTGGAGTTGTCAGGAGACACCTGGGTGAGAACACGACAAGTTTTCAGGAACTTAAAATGTGCTGCAAAGACAAGAGAAATAATTTAATTTCTACGTCCAGGGTAAATAGGACAAAAGCAATATTTTATGTTGAAAGATTAGAGATTATGAAAAACTTTCAAGAAGTAAGGCTAATGAAACAAAGCAATAGACTGTCAAGGGATGATGCGGAAATACAGCAGGGGAGATCTTTAAGGAAAAGTTCCATAAACATCTGTCAGGAATGACAAACGTATAGTAGATCCTGCCGTAGGCCGATTAGATGGACTGGATGTGTTCCTGAGCTTTTTCCAGCCGATTTTCCTATGATTCTAGTCTAAAGCAATTTACGTAACCCTAAAAGGCCTTTTCGGGTTACCTTTGAGATCATTCCAGGTTCATGAGCAGTACAGAATTGGGAACGCAAGATGCTTAAGCACACACAAAAAAGAAAGCTATTTCCTTTTCCAGGCTCAGAATTGCAGCCCAGAACCTCCCTCCTGAATTTGCAAATGCATATCCAGTCCAAGCCACCCAGCACTCTCAGTGGCAGCCAGCCCACCTCCAACTGGTCTTGTGAAATCCTATATAAACTGGGCAGGAAAAGATGCGGTCAGTACTGCATGAGGGGAAAATGGTAACAATACACAGAGCTGTGTTACTGACTCCGTAGGGAAGGTGTATTCCTGCCTCACCTCTGAGCCATCCCTGAAAGTGGCACTTTTTAGAGTAAATCTTACAAAACAGAATCCAGGTAAATTTATAGCACTGCTGAAGACAAAAATCTTTTTCAGCCAGATCTACTGAGCAAATGATGATCATAAAAAAATGGCATCTCTTTACTCAGGTTCTCCTGTCATCTTTATTGCATACAGCCTTTCCTAATGCTACTTAATAATCCAGTTTTTATTTCTCTGACCATTCTGAAAAAGTAGAAAGTTAACACTGAGGACCAATATAAAGCAAGATAAATTATTTTTTCTACCTTTCCCCCATCTTATAAAGAAGTGCTGTAATACTAGCAAATATTAAAAATTTATTTTTAATGGTCAAAACAAGTTGTCGTAATTTTACTCTGTACGAGTTTTGTTCTTTTTTTTCCCCTCCCATTATACATATAATTCCTCAGAAATTATAGGAATTTGTAAAATATTTCTGCGACACCAAGCATTTTCTCTCAAAAGAAGTTTCCACCAAAAGAATCAACATTTCCATCACTTGTGATCTTCCTCAAAAGGTGCATGTGATTTAGTGATAAAAGAACCGATTCCTGTGTGAATACCCTAAACAGTATGTTCCTTGCTAAAACTAATAATATCTCAGACCTCTGAAAGAATGCTCTTCAAATAAAACCTTTTTTGCATTCATATACCCCAACCTGAAGCAGTGTTAGGCAGGACCTTTGGATAATTGGATGGCTGTTCGCACGTGCCCCGTGGGTCCTCGTTCCCTCCACAGAGAGTGATTTCAGTGAACCTAATTCACTCTCAGACATATAATCTGAATTCTAACATTGACAATTTCTCCTTTTCTGACCTAGATATCATGGCTGGGAATCAGAGTCAATAAATGAAAAACACCATGAAGTCTACATCTCTCCTTCACATGAAATTCATGTTGAAACATAAACACTGCCTCTCAACCTGCTACATGTAATCCCTCGATACTGCTATGCTAAAAACATCAAAAGATGCAATGAGAAAAAAACAAAAACACTTTAAAGATGTGTTTCTGTTTAGTTACATAAATCAAGGCATAATGGCAAGAGACCGAGGATTTCATAGGATACGCGGTTTAGCTGTGTGTAACCTCAGAGGACAACGACAAACAGAACAAGAAGAGAACTTGAGTAGGATTTCATAATTGAATAAATTCCATCTGTCTCCTGAACCATTTGTCCCAATCAGCAGCTCATGGAGTCAAACAATTTACCTACCTCATTAGTTGTGAGAGTGAGAATCCGATCCAAGTCTTCTACCAACTGTTTAAAAGTCGGTCTCTGTGAAGGCACAGCATGCCAGCAATCTCTCATCATCATATAGCTGTAAGAAATACACATTTTCTTGGCTTAATTAAAATCACGCGTCCTTCTTCTAAACCTTTTCATACACAGTCAACGTTCTTCATCACAAGTAAAGCAGCAAGCACCCACAGCCCTACAGACGGACCACTGACTTTCCCAAAATTGTGCAATACCCCCTTCCCTCAAAGGTGCATTTCTACTCCTGTATCTCTGTTGCCCAGTGTCCAAATAAGCTTTTTTTTGGACTTGATTCTGTAGCCTTCTGTCACAGGAATTTCAACAGTATTAAATTACACATGCTTAGATATATTCGCGTGTTAAGGACTGCAGTGTTTGTGAAATGAAGAAATTAAAATGGCAAAAAAAATTAGAAGTAGTTAAGGACTATACTAAAATATCAGAAAGGGAAAACACTCTTCCCTCCTCACCAGGAGATAATGCTGTGTTAATGCAGAAGTTCCCAGATGTATTTTGTTGTGTACAAAACCAGCCCAATGTACCTTACATATGATTAGTGGTATGTGTGCCATTTATAAATTTTCATGTTAATGAGATTAAAATAAAACAAATATGGGTGTAAAAACACTGACAGAGACTGGCTCGTAGATGACCTCTTCTTTTTTCAATGGGATCACAGCAGAGTGTGTAAAGAAGTATCCTCTGTCAAGCCGTCCCTGAAGACCTTTTCATACATTTTCTTTACGTATCTATACACACACAATATATCCACCATTTTAGAGTCAAGCAATTCTGAAAATGTTTGATTCTGCCCCGGGGTAGCATTAACCACATGAATTCGGTACAGTTTGCGCCCTTCAATCCTGGTACGGCAAGTAAGGGTCCTTACAGTTCATTGGTGCAGTTGGCAGGTTTATCCATTCGGTGCCCTTCTTTAAGCAGCTTAAAAAGTTCCTCCACTGGGATTCCTGGGTAGGGCGATCCTCCTAAAGTGAAGATCTCCCACATCAACACACCAAATGACCAACTACAAATCAAAGAGAAAATTGCATTAGTAGATCTGCCTTACTGCTGAAAAGAGAGATGTGTCTGCAGCAAGATGCAATGATTGCCAGTCCCTCTCAGGAGATGCTCAAATCAGCATCTGCTCAACTCTGACCACCCTGAGTGGGACGTCAATCCATGAAGTGCATCAGATGTATGGGCAGCATATAGAACAGGGACTGACCTGAGCATGTTCTCAAACACACTCTTTACTTTTCTC